TAGCTATCAAAACGCCTGCCATTTGAAATAAATAAATTTTCTCTAAACTGGACCTTGTTGGAGAATATCATCAGATACCAACGCCCCAAAGGAGGATATTGATATTCGACATTTTCGTGTGTGTGTGTGTGTGTGTGTGTGTGTTACACCGTTCCCCTTTTGGATACATTGACAAACAATAACACCATTTATTTTCCATTCTATTAGATTTTAGCATATTTTCTTGCAATTGTCGCATAAGTCATGAATAAATAAGCACAGTTCAGCACTTTTACTTGCCAGTCAAGCCTGCCTGTTTCATCTATTACAAGAAAACTAAATAGGGGTTGAATTACCTTTTCCGATAGCGACTTGTTAACTACAAATTATCAAATTGATTGCTCTGTTTATCGCCACGGCTATTAATTCTGTATATGCATTAGCAAAAGTCGTCAACGTATTGCCTATTCCTTAACTTATAACTTTAATTTACCAAAATATTCCATTTCATTAATGTTGATTCCCCAATTTCTTACTTCTAGTGTTCTAGGTGCTTCCAATAAATCGATACAGTTAACTCCTGTCAAAACAACACCATGAGGTTTCCATTTTTGACCAAAGTCAAACGGGGATATGGCTTTTCAAAAGGCATTATAGAAGTAAAGATAAAAGAAAAAAAAATAGTGGAAGAAGGGCGAATCAGAGAAATTATCCTTCAGGAGAAAATAGGTGGTGAAGATAGGCAGGTAGGTGGGTGGGTAGGTAGGAAGGTCTGAAGGTCTGAAGGAGGGTTTTCGCAGTGTGATTCTTTTGTTGTTAAATGCAAAGAACGAAATCATGCACACTTTTTCGCTACTGACTGTGCACGAATATACACAGATAAAAGAGGAGGGGGAGGAGGTGGGGTGGGGGGGGTGGGGGGGGAAGGGGGGGGNGGGGGGGGAGCAGTCATGTTGGTGTAAACCAATTTTACTCTTCTTCCTCCTCCTCGTCCTCCTCCTCTTCCTCATCGTCAGAGTACTTTCCAGAGACCACTACTCCCTCCATATGCGCGGCTGGAACATTCTCGAACACGCCACTCTCCTTTGGCATTTCACTCCAGATATCAATCTGAAAATAGAATGAACTTTAGCACCTGACAATATTGTAGTGACGAGTTTAAAGGACACCTTTTCAGCATATAATAGTTCAATGATTTCACTGCGGCTAGATCCGTCAATCAATAACTCAAAGTACAAATTGAACAGAGGGAACAGAAATTTGCGCGCGCGGATCTTATTTTCTATCAGTGTGAAAGATCTTGGTGAAGATTTGAATAGAGTTGGTTGAATTGAAAATTCATGTTGAGTCTCTTAATTACTACCACCTTTATTCCGTTATGAAAGTAGGAAATTGAACCTTATAAATGAGAAACAATCTATGGTGCACACAGCGTTGTCACCTCTGAACAAAGTAATCTCATGCGCACTCAGGCAGTCTTGAAGGTACGGTCGTGCGACTTCGCACACAGCCAAATAAATGTGGTCCAACCCCTTTAATCAATAGATCTGCTATAGCTTGGCTAATTCCAGGGGTAGTTCCAGACGTGAAAGAACCTCACCTGGGGACCACTGAGTATAGACAAGGCTTATTCGTGTATCAATCCACCAAAAGCCCTTGATTAGGAAGAATGTAAAATTGTCTATATGCTTTTATATTTTTAAAGTGGAGTGCTCGATAGACTTACATCCACGTGGTACATCCTAGGCAGTTGACTTCTGACTTCAAACTACCATCATCTCCCACTGTATGTCATATTCGACCACTTTCACAGTACTCACCTCACCTTTTTTACATTTGTGTCTGCCTCTTTTACATCTTTGAAACACTCTTCTATCCGCCCCCCCCCCCTCCTCTCGAATTTTTCAGCTTTGATGTTCCTTCCCCTCTCTGATAGTTATTAAAATGTCTGCCTTTTAATATAAAAAAATTAATATTTTTTAAAGCTATGCTGTAAATTTTAAATAAAATAAAGTTTTTTCACCAATTATATTTTTCCAATGAGATTTTTTCATTTTTATTATTATTTTACCGCTAATTAAATTTTGATTACTTACAATGCCAGGAGTTGCCTTCTTTTTCGCCGCCTCGTCGGCTTCCTTCTGTTTCTCCAGGAACCGCTGCTTAGCACTGGTGGTGAAGGCACCCACTAATTGTTCACCTTCCTCTTGATCTGCTTTGGCATCGGCAGCGGAGTTAGCCGGCTGACTCTCGTAGACAGTCGGTCCCACTGCGCCCTCGACAAGAGAGATTTTCTTAAAAAACGAAAACCGGTGTTGTGAGGAAGAGTCTGTAATTAATTTAACATTTGATTCAATTCCAGATATTTCTTATGACGTAGTAAGAAAGTTCTTGACATATGTGAGGAAGATTATTTGCATCACAGTTAGCATTTTGAGGACAGTCTCGGCTTTAGTACTAGTTAGAAGTAGTTCTAAGTGAATTCAACAACGAAAACACTAACTATTTACGAAAATGGGGAAATTTCTCGAAGATGAAAGGCCTGAAGGCGTCTGAATGGCATGTTCTACAAAAAAGTCTTATACAACCGCCAATTATTGAAAATACTTACATCACTAAATGACCAGTGAGGTGGTAAGAGTGATTGGTCACCATTATATCCACAAATGGGGTGTGCGATAGACTTACCCCTACGTGGGCAAAAAAGTCTATAAACCAGCAGTTGACTTCTCACTTCAAAATACCTTGACCCAACTGTATGCTATATCCAACCACTTCCACAGTTCTCATCTTACAATTTCTCGGAATTTGTGTATATCTTTTTTACATCTGTGAGTCCCTCTTCCGTTCCCCCTCTCGAATTTTTCCAACTTTGATGTTCCTCCTCTCTGTGAAGCCCGAAGTCAGCTAAAGAACTAATGATAACTTTCAAAACGCCTGCCATTTGAAATAACTAAATATTCTGACTTCAACCACTACACCATAGAATAGAGACATTTAAAAGAACCGCAGACACTCCCATTAGAAAATGGTTCAAGTCATTCGAGATTTTCGAGGTTCTGATAATTCAAAAATTCTTAAAAAGAGAAGAATAAATCATTAATGTATTGTTGGAATTTAATGCTCTCCGCTTTGAAGCGAGATTGCATAGGCTTGGAAATAGGTGATTACGATCTTGAAAACACTTCTCTTTCACCCTCTTCAGTTTGAGATGTAGCGATAATGATAGACAAGATTGAGTTTAATACTTGGTTTTTCCCAAAAGTACCTAGACAACTTGCATAGTGACTTCCAAGAACTAGTTTAGACTACTTTTGAAAGTCAAATTAGCACATGACCTTTAACACAATGGCTTAATAGTCAAGTCTGAGGTAATTGGTTCCTCCTTAGTGTTGGTTTAATTACATCATTTCCTGTACATCTACCAATTAAAGCCCTTCAGTTACCGTGACTGACTCAGCGTACAACCCACCTCAGTCTTCTTGATAGCCTTCGCCCTCTCTTCGGCGTCTTTCATGAAACGCTCCTTTGCTGCTGAGGCCCATTTCACATCTCCGGGTGCTGGAGCTTCATCTGCTTCCCCGCCTCGGACAACGTCGTCGCGCTGTTGCGGCTCATTCTCGTAGACTCCGCCTTCACCGCGTAGTTCAAATGTCTTATGAAAATCAATGATTCACTTTATTTGAGGCCAAATTTGGTGATCTTCTCTTTCTCTCACTATGGATCTAGGTAAATCTTATTGTTCCGCGTCAGTTTTGGCTATTAAAATGCACCAAATGTCTATCCAACCAAATTAATTGACTGATCACTAAAGCACTGAGGCGAACTCAATACATCTTTAGTGTTAACAATCTGTGTCAACCAAGATTAGCGATTAAGTAACTTTTTATAACTGAAAGTTCTAATTCGGCTTAAATGACCGAACATCAGAAGACGTCTGATGTAACAGAGACATTTCTAACTCTAAGGTATATGCACCGTTTCTGTAAGCTCACAAATCTGACTTCAACTGCATCCATCACCACCACCACCTAATCGCTTCCTCTATCTTTTTGACATAGCGAAGATCAGTAAATGGTTGATTGTGCAGAATGAAATACCTAAATGCTACTGATGTATTAGGTGATGCAATGGACACACACAGGCACACGCACTCAGAATTGGGTTATTATTCCCTATGATCCTGTTCATTACAGGTCAACAGTTAAAAAAGTATAGTAACTTTGTGCTTCAATGGCGACAGTGTAGAAGCTAATAAATGGTAAATCATGGTGAAATCCACTTCAGCCCCGAGCTATTAGGTGTTTGGAACCCTAATCAAAGATCTCCTATTCTTCTTCCTTGCACTTTGTTATCGATAGGATAAGCATAATCATCATCATTGAAGCAATTGGAACCAGGCAATTTTATGAAAGCAAGTTATTGATTCGATTTAAAAAAAACATCGTTCGGGTTATAGCTCTTCTGCCCTTATTGTTTCAGGGGTCGGAGTAGAAAAAAAACTTTAGCAAACATTGAATCAGAAAAAAAATGGCAGACTCCAATTACCGTTTTCTTGATTTCATTCTGGAGTTTACTGGGATCCAGGAATTTCTCTCTAATTGACTTTGCACCAGAGAGATTCAGGTAGTCGTCAACAGCGGCCTTGTCTGCGGCGACAACGTCGTCTGGACGTGCAGCTGGAGTGCTTTCATAGACGACGTTCTTCTCTTTGCTTGCAAGTTCTTGAAGCTCAGCCTAGACACCAGAATATGAGAATTATAAATAAAAATGTCTTCCTTTTTACTCTGAAGGCGTGTCTGAATTATCTACGTGTCCATTTGTTTCAAGGTTTAGACTCGATGGAGTTCTGCTCCACTGAAACGTCAGCATTGAAATATACTTCTTATACTTCATGCGCTATCAAATTAGTATCACCTTAGTGAGTTGCTAACAAATACATTAGTAGTCTCAGACATAAATAGTTTGGGGGTATGTGTCACTCCCACTGCGTAATTAAATCAACTGAGCGCGGGGATTTGAATCTTAAAACCGGGACAACACGATCTCACACAATGAAGAAGTTTCATAAGTGAAATCAGACAACGCATTTCTTCCAGAATTTAAGTAGATCAGGGGCCTTGATGTTCCGATTAAAAATGCCTAATTCTAAAGGCTATTCCAGCTGTCATTTTTTTTTCAGTTACCTTAACAATGTCATAGACGCAGAAAGGAAATAGGAGTAAATACTCTAAGCAGCAAAACGAACCTTGGGATCGAGGCGCTTGACTTTGCTCTCTTCAGCAGCTTTCTTTAGGAAGGCGTTTTTGCGTTCAGCGGCGCTCGCTGTAATAACCAAATGAGCATCGTCGTCTTTCTCCTGCCTAGCGATGTCTAGAAGCTTGTCTGGTTCATTTTCGTAGATTCCACCCTGCGTCTACAAGACAGCGTGAAGTAATAGGAGAGAAAAATGAGCTTGCTTCCACTTTTCCATACGGTAATTGCAAAGGCAGCTTTCTATTGGTCGAGAGATTCAAACTGATTACTTGAGGAAGAATCAACCATAAAGCACGAATGCCAATGAATGCATGCATTTGAGACATAAAAACACAAGAAAAAACAAAAAATTTCAAAATTTCCATAGAACAGAACTTTCGTGCAATCTGAGCCAACATTTACTTCCATTTAAAGGGAAATAAAATAAAACGAAAAAGTGGTTCCGATGTTTGGGATTAGTAAGACATAAGCTCTGGAAAATACCCGGCTTTCTTGAGTGCTAGAGAGTTTTGAGGGTTGAGGTTTTTTTAAAGAATTACAGGCTAAAAATATCAATAAATGTGGCATACAATAGGGAAGAAAAAAAAGTAGATGTAAATTTTAATTTGTAGCCGATGCGGGATGCACAACAAAATGACAACCAAACGCACCTTATTTAAAAGTCCAATTTTAATCTATTTAAATAAAATAGGAATATCATTACCTTATTTCTTATAAATAGAAGTTTCCAGGAAAGAAAAAGGCATCAATTCAACTGCCCCAACAAAATAACAGCAAGTTACTACTACCAAAAACGCTTTCTTGCGAATGATAAGGTTTTAATTGTCTAAGTTGACTTTCTGTTTTAAAATAGCAGTAAAGCACTGTTATTAGACAGTCAAAGAAGCGCTTTTATTGCATCACACAAAATTCAAGCATTCACTCAAGCTTTGGATAGATAAATGCATTTATCGATTATTAAATTAAATTTCATTAACCATGTAGAGCAAGGTAATTTATGGTAAATACTGTGGAAGGAAAACATGACATTCAAAGATCCCCCCGTTCACTTCTCAAGGAGGCTATCGAACATCAAGGGCAATAATAACTTTGAATAAGCGTTTTTTCCTTTCAGCCTATTCGAGTGCACAGGCTTTCATAACGAGCAAACATTTCATACCGCAGACATATTTTATTGATTTTGAAATAAAAAGGGTGCCAATTAAATTAAATTTCTTTTTTTGTTTGTTTCAACAGATATTCTGATGAGTTATAATTTATAACATATGGCATTCAATTTATCGATTATATCGAGGATTTCACTGTTTCAACCTACCTAGCGAATTGAGTCCGAACCATTTCAAATTGGACAAATATTATGACAATCGGAGTGTGCGATAGACTTACCTCCACGTGGTGCAACCTGGGCAACGTATACTCATACGGCAAAAAAGTCTACTAACCGGCAGTTGACTTCTCACTTCAAACTAACATGACCCCACTGTATGTCATATTCCACCACTTCCACAGTACTCACCTTACATTTTTTCTACCTTTGTGTCTGTCTCTTTTACACCTTTAAAACTCTTCTGTCTCCCCTCTCGACTTTTTATCACTTTGATGTTCCTCCTCCTCTTTGTAAAGCCCGAAGTCAGCTAAAGGGCTAATGATAACTATCAAAACACCTTCCCCTTGAAATAAATAAATAAATAAATATTATGACAATCTAATCATAAAACACTAGAATTAGTACGTGAAGTCATAAACGTTATTAATTGTCATTTAATAAAACACCTCAGAGACGATGCTAATCGGGCATGGATGAATTAAATTCTCGAGATCATGGAGATTTTTCATCAATATTTTAAGACATTCTGAGCAATTAGTCCTTTTAAAGGACTAGGGGGGTGGGGGTGTGGGGGGGGGGAGATGATTGGGTTACTCTCGAGTGCCGAAATTCTTGCAGAGAGCAGGAATTGCAGACGAAATAGCGAAACACGTTTATCAAATGCATACACCCTAGTCTACTCACTTTCAGACTCTAGTTAATCTTGAATCCTGACAGCACTCACTTATCGATTTTATTTTGTTTACTTAAAAGACTGGAAGGAAGTTTGCAAGATCGCATTCTAAATGTTCAACATGCTAATTTTCCATCTATGGGTTAATTTAAATTGCTCGAATTACTCGTTAATTTAAATGCTACTTGACATTGATAATCGATTTACTATTTGCTTCACTATTCCCAGTTATTTGGCCTGGGTTATACTCAAAAGCCGATTTATTGACAATTTATGTAAATTCAAGGTTTTTCTACTCTCTCTCTCTCTCTCTTCCTCTTCAATCTTCTATCAGTCCTGACTTTTGTTCTCTTCAATATCCCACGAGCCTTCTTCCAATCATCACTCACCAGTAATAAATTGATCACCCTATCCTAATCCTACACAAGAATTTTAAGGTCAATGCATACTTAGTTCTGCATTCCTTTCCTTTACTTGCAATAAGGCTGATGGTCTCTTTTTCACAAGGAAACATTAACGATTTTTACGCTTGATTTATTCCCACTGAGGTTTTTTGCAATACTAGGCCATCTCTTTGGCAGTTTAGGAACTGACGTTTACACTTGAGTTCCAATCTTTCATAAATAGCACATCGTAAAGAAGAACTACACAACGTTTGTTAAGATTTAACAATGCTTCGCTTTCTAGTGTCTTTTCTGCTTTCGCGTCAAAATACTGGCCTATTTGGGAAAGTTGTGGTCGATTGGGGAAAAATTGCAGTAATTTGTGAAATTGAGGGGAAAAATATCCCATCGTGGCACATGTGTTCGCAACGCTGGATCCTTTGCGGCTCGACCAATAGGAAATTTAGTGATATGGGGTCGGTCATTTATCAATAAATCTGCACCCGCAAAAAATGATGCAAATATATGACCGGGATTAGGGACATTGATTGCAAAATTTCCACAAGAAAAAATCTTTGAATATTTCTTAGTAATTTGTCAATGGGTCATCACCAAATTTTATGCTCCTCAAGGTCATTGCATTTAGGAAGACAAAAATAATTTGCTAAAAATAAAAAAGAAGATTGCAAAACACTTTTTTTATTCATCCTGTTTTGCTGACACCGTGTCAGGTGGTTATGATTTTACAAAATTATTATTTTACATTTTCAACCTTTTATAAAAGAAATTTGCTAATTCATAGAGAAAATGACGCATTCATTATGGTCATTACCTTAAAATCAGCTTAATTTATAGTCAAAGTGCATTCGAACCAAAGTACTTATTATCTTCAAAGAGAGAAAATCAATGCACAAAATGATTCGTTATTGCCCAATATCTCAAAGTCAAATATATATGCAATTAAATCATTTCTTTTTCATGTTTGACCCAAAGTGCGTGGGTGGACGGAAAATTTTGTAAACAATTTGTCTTATGAAATTCACATTCATTCCAGTTACGATCCTCGCCAAAGTAGCGTTTGAATTTTGTGTAAAACAATTCTGCGAAATTGTACCGACGACACGTGAAAAGTAGAAGTCAAATTGCCACGTGATCATCTATTGGTATGGTTTAGCAAGTAGGAAAGCAAATCTCACAAAAATTGGAATATAAAAAACACTGGGACACGAAAAATGGGAACATTGCTAAGTAATTAAAAAGCCCACAACCTGACTCCGTCGATTCAATTAGTATGACTCTCCTGGTTCCTAAATTCAATTTATTTATTTTTTCCCAGATTCTCTGCCAATATTTTGGTCTTGCTGTGAATGTTAAAAATAACCTCATTGCTCAATTTGGCTAAAGCCTAATGGTTCGTTTAATTGAAATATATATATATATATATATATATATATATATTTCGATACAGCTTTGATATGGGAAAAATAGAAATATGAAACTAATGCTTTAACGAGGTCAGGTTTACGAAAATAGTATGATTTCGACGAGGGTATGGAAAATTTGGTCAATTTAAGGTTAGTTATCACATTTGATATGAGTTTCCTTAAAGGAAAATCAATGTTAAAAGGCTGTAAAATTGCAAAATTTAATTAAATTGTTGCAAGATGTTACACAGAAGCCGTTATTATAAAGTTAATTAATAGAGCGAAATGAGTTGGAAACGTTCTAAAAGTATTTTGAAACATTGGAAGCCGTGGTCACACATTATTATTAGCAATTTGGCACAATTAAATAGTGAAGAATTGAATGATCAACGAATGTACCTATAAAACTGAAACTTGAATACCCCTTGTGATCACAGATTTTTCTATTGAAAGATTGACACTTTTACGCATAACTTTCAAAATGAATGAATTTACGTTATTGATAAGTAAGTGTATAAAGTCATGTCAAATGAATGTATTTTATTAAATAATAAAAAATAAAACAATTAATTTTGTTAATAAGTTGGCATTCAGTAACAGAAGGAACAAAATTGAACAAAGAACAAAACCAAAATATCAAAGAATCTTGCTTAATTTAATTCGATTAACTATTATTTGTAAAATGGGAAATTAGACAAATTGTATTACTCACACTATTGCCCAATTCGATTTTAGTCTTTTCAACTTTAGTTTCCACTTTGCCTGATTCAATATCCTTCCATCGGGCTTTGGCTGATCGAGTTGCCTCTGTGGCGACTTGTCTCAATTCATCGGATTCGGCGGCACCTGCTGCCTTCTTCCCTTCCACTTCGCCATTTTCTTCGTCGACCTTGCAATTGACGAAATGTTAAAGCCAGAACAGTTATTATTACTCATGATAGGAGAGGGGGGTGGGAGTGGGGTGGGGGGCTAGTTTGTTTCCCGGATTTGGTCATATTAAAACTTATGGGGAAAATGCGCACTTAGATATGAAAGCGAAAGTTGATTGATAAAGCCAAGGCATTCTGGTGGAATTCAGATGAAAAGTATGCTTCAATTCTAATGATTCAACTCCTAAGTGATTGTACGAGTCTAATTTCCGAGTTTTTCAGAGCCCACTGACAGGCGGAACCGGTTCCTTCGATAGCATCCCATCTAGATTAATTTATTTCCCTTTACAAAGAGGGGGCAATTAAAAGAGAGTTGAAACGACTTTTGAACACTGCAAATGTTAATGTTCTTCCCATGAAAAATGGTTGGCTCACTGGCTTTACTGCGCCATAATTATGTAGGCAAAAAAAACACCTTTAAATATCTCATTGTCAACGACTCGACTGGACTAGACGTTAGATTTTTCTTGACGGCTTCAAATTAGAGGTTCAACGGTGGAGAGCAGTGTTTCACATCTTCTCCGTTAGACTCTGTTAAGACTATTTTGCAGGGTTAAGATACAAGGGAGTTTCAGCTCAAATTACACTTTTCATTAACAGATAGAAATGGTAATATTTGCTCGAATATATAATAAATGATTGGTTGCTAGTTATTTAATTATTGTAACCGACAGTTTCCCGCGCAGTTAACACCACATATCGAGGAGTGAACGCGGGAATTCAATAATCAGTATTCAAAGGGAAGAGAATAAATATTTCCGAGTTGATCTGGAGGGCTAGTAAACTATTCCATTAGAATTCCAAGCAGGAATTCAGTTTAACTGGCTAATAATAATAAAAGAATAGAGTATGAAATTAACGGGACTTGCCCTAAATTTATACTGAAAAGTGGATACCGTTGAGATCTCCAAACTTAGTTATTGGAAAAGCTCACGTCTCATGACTCAAAAGCTATGTTTTCCCGTTTGAATTAATCCAACTGAGCTCGATAAACGATAACAAAGGATAAATTCACCACTAAAATACATTTATCAATCAGAATATGTTTGGAGGGAGGGGCGGGGGGCGCGTTCTTTGTTCTCACAAAAGTGTTCAGAAATTAATTTCTTCCGCCATAAATGTAGGGTGGCTTTGGACATGCGCGATGATTAACCAAGGTCTTTACTAGCTGACTTGAAATTAATGATTAAAACAAAAAGTAAATGGTGCTAAGAGGAAGGCTTGAGAGATCATGGTAGGCCTGTCCAAACGACGGCAAAAACTGATCACTGTAAGAAATTCTAACCTCCAGAAATAGTCAAAATCAAGCCTTTTCAACCAATTGGCCTGCTTTGACAATTAGAAGGAGGCGAAATGCAAGTGTTTACGATTTGCGTGATGGATCACAATAAGGTATCGTTCCCATGCTTACCGTAGAAACCAAAACATAATTGAACAGAAGAGCGATAGCCTGAACAGCTACTTGACGTCTTGCCCTTACGTAAATGCGTATGTGTTGGGCATTTTCTTCTGATGAACAGAGCATTATCAGAATAAAGCCAACCTCTAGACAGATAGACAGACACTCTTACTCTATAGGGAATTGCTCGAAAACTTGCACAATACAAACGTGGTTGAGAAAACAGATCAAATCATACCACCGAGAATTTAGCTTTGACGGTAGCAATAAATAACTACACGCTCTGCAGAATAAGCGAACTGAAACTTCCAAAAACTGCAACTCAGACATCAAATCTTGGCTTCCTGAAATACTCCAAATGTCATGGACATTACTTCAGTGTCTTTTGCCCTAGTTTCTTCATAATTACGATTTTTTACTTTGAAATGCCACAAGTAATTACGTCTGAGGCTAATACATCGTGAGTAGAAAGCGACATCATGGAGCCTCACCAAGAGTGGGAGGGGGGGGGGGGGGGGGGGGAGGGCATGACTTCTTCCACTTCAGCAGTATAGTTGACCATTCCACTCACTAAGAGCTAATAGGAACCAAACCCGTGATCACTGAAATTGACAGGCATGAAGGGTGATCAATGCATCACAGATGGAGAGAAGGGCCTGAATTATGAAGATAATCCATTAATCTTTCAAAAATCGATGGAAATCCACGAATTTTCCTGTTCACTGCCCACTCATCAATTGATATATCCACCCCCTACACCTAATGATGAAATGCGATGGAAAAGCAGACAACGTTTAAGTTACTATTTTTACCAAATGAAACTTTTGCTCACGCTCAGTGTGATTGTGAATTGCACTACCGGCTAACATCTCTGAAGCCTAAACCCCCTTTTCCTGCCAGGTGTTATCACGCTTTTACATTTTGGTTATTCCCACCGCTTCATACAGCCCTGTGGATGACTCATCCACCGAATTTTATACGCTTAATGGCCTTTCGCGTTAAATAACACCTGCGGAGGGGGGGGGGGGTGGTTAAGCCAACTAGTTTTACGGTCGGGGGTGTGCGATAGACTTACCTCCACGTGGTGCACCCTAGGCAACGTATACTCATACGGCAAAAAAATCTATAAAATGGCAGTTTATTTCTGACTTTAAAACACCATCCGCCCTTTACTCATGCTGATTCTAATAGTTCATATATGTGATGAAGGGGTGTGCGATAGACTTACCTCCACGTGGTGCACCCTGGGCAACGTATATTCATACGGCAAAAAGTCTATTGACTGGGAGTTGACTTCTCACTTCAAACTACCATCACCTCACTCTATACCATATTCGACTATTTCCACAGTACTCACCTCACCTTTGTTCTACCTTTGTGTTTGTCTCTAACATCTTTGAAACACTCTTCTGTTCCCCCCCCCCCCTCTCGACTTTTTTCAATTTGATGTTCCTTCCCCTCTGTGAAGCCTGAAGTCAACTAAAAGGCTAATGATAACCATCAAGACGCCTGCCATTTGATATAAATAAATTTTACGGTCGGTGTCTACCACTCTGTTCTCCAGGAATGATAAATCCTTCCGAAAAATTCAATCTCATTCCGGTTCTGTGGACCCTGAGTTCGTTCTCACTAAAAAATGGCCATTTGATTAATAGTCTCCAACTGTTACTAACCTCCTTCAACTTAGAGCGTAGTTATGAATGCCTATTTCTATAGGTGTCGGCTTATATACCGCTGTGGTATACTGTGCTTAGTCATCGTGGAAATTAAGCCGAGAACACAAATTCCTGCAAGCGACTGTAATGTATGATTATTTTACATATGACATTTGTGTTTTGTTTTGGCCCACTGATGTTTTCCAATGTCCCATATCCCGACCCGATAGCGGGAAGTTCATAGAAATTACTTTTGCCACATAACATGTAGAAAATTTACTAATTAGAACTTGGTTCCTTTCCTATAATATCAAAAGTCGAATTGAATCATAAAAAAATTATAAAACACACCCCAAAACTTTGCCTTGTTAATCTCTTTTAGTACTTGCTTTGAACGAGTTAAGTAATCAATAACCGTGTGATTTGAAAAAATATATAAGTTCTTCGGTAAAACTTTAATATTTATCTCGTCTATTTATCATTCACCGATAAGAAATAAAAAAACTAAATAATTTATTTATAAATTTGAAATAGGAACACATTCTCAACGGGTTGTAACGTGTTTAAACCAAGTTTAATTTGAAATATTGGTCGGAAGTTGCAGGAAATTGCGAGTACATCGAAGTGGAAAGACTTAACAAGGTGTTAAATTTATCAATCGCCTAATTATAACGTAACCTATGATTCTGGGATCAAACTCAACCCCACAATACTTTCCATTGAAGTTGTGGGACACATCATCGCCTACGGTGTGATTGCTTGCGCGCACAACCAATGGCCAATCGGAGCGAATTTGTTTGTTCAAACGGATCCGCCTTGCTGATTATGGCTAACCTTGCGGTGTGTACACTTTTGCCACAATACACTTCCTAAATGAACGTGTTCTGTGCGATACGTCTGTTTCCTCTATAACTGGGCTGTAGGTTAGCTAGTTCTGAAAGTCTAGATAGACAGAGGAGAATCTGCCCCACAGAGATTTCTGAGTCAGTCAAGGCTTTACAAGTGCAGAAATCCACTACAAAGTTAAATCCTTGTTAGAATGTGGAAACCTCAGTGCTTCCAGAATTCAAGGAAGTAGTTTTATACCCTATTTTCATTTAGACTTCTTCTTCTTAAAAAGGATGTAAACAAAATATATATTATTTAGTATTTGCATTAACAATAACAACTTCAGTTTAATATATATGTCAATTGGACAACAGCAATTGGATACTTTAAACACTTAAGGAATATTATGAGGCAAATTTGCCTATGGAGACTTAGATATTGATTATGTTAATAATTAGTCTAATTCCTTGGCCATTAAAGTAAGGTGGGTCAAAGAGCTAATATAAATCAAATAAGTAGATTAAAAATCAAAGCGAGCCGAATAAGCTAAGGTAAGTCACAAGGCGAAGGATTCAGACTTTGGACCACTGGAGAAAATATCTTGAGTTCGCTTATTCTTAAATTAATATATAAAGAACTTTGGTATTGAAAGACCTAGAAAGATTGCACTAGGAGATTTTGTTAAAATACGCATAGAGTCTTCCATGTTACTCCTCTATCAAAGGCATAAAGACGGTCAAACTCAATAGAAAAAAACAGCTTAATGTATGGTTTCCAATCACTTGGGAATGTTTGCGTAAAATTCAACAGTGATTGTGTACAACCGACGCTATCACAGCAAAAGAAATGAATGACAACAATTTTCAACTTTCAATCCACCATCGAGCCTCAAAGCAGCTAACTTTCGAAATGGTCGTTGTATAATTAAATTTCCTTCTTACTAAACACCTGGTTCAACTCAATTTTGAGCACCAATTTTCAAACTATCTATACCAAAACATGTAGAAATACATTTTGAATAAGGGGTGTGTGATAGACTTACCTCCACGTGGTGCATCCTGGGCAACGTATACTCATGCGGCAAAAAGGTCTATTACCTGGCAATTGACTTCAAACTACCATGACCCCACTGTATGTCATATTCGACTTCTTTCACAGTACCCATCCCACCTTATCTACCTTCGTCTTTGATACACTCTTCTGCCCCCCCCCCTCTTGAATTTTTTACACTTTGATGTTCCTTCTCCTCTATGAAGACTGAAGTCAACTTAAGGGCTAACGATAACAATCGAAACGCCTGCCATTTGATAAAATAATAAAATTTTGAAAAATGAAATCATTGAAATATAGAAATAGTATCTTACCATACTTCCCGTCCTTTCAAGCCTCTTGAAGCGCTCCCTAACGTCCTTGGTTTTCTTTCCAATCCCAATATAATCCGTCTGTTCACCTACACTCGCAGCTACAACACCCTCCGGCCTAGCTGCAGGTTGAGATTCCAGAACGCCTGTCGCTACACCCTCCCTCGGTGGTGTAATCTCCTTCATCTTCCGTGGTTGTTTATCCGACGGTGTGCCGTTCACAGCCTTTTCCGCCTCCTTAATGAATTTCTCTTTCACACTACCCACTCCCGCATACTTCAACTTCGTCTTGCGTTTCTTCACTTCCTTGTTCTTGTCGGCATCTTGGAAGCTGTCACCTTTTTCGAACTTGTTTCGGATGTCTGATGCCCGGGCTCCAGAACCGCCTGCTACCGACGCCGCGTCGGCTACGTCCTTACTGACTTTGGTAACCTCCTTGGCAGCTTTTAGCGCCTCGGATTCCTTGTGAGGGGCTTTAGATTCAGTTTTCAACTTTTCTGAGAAATATATATATATTTTTTTTTGATAATTTTTTTTTGCAAGAGTGTAGAAAATTGGGAGTAGTTTTATGCACGTTATTTGCAAAGCTTGCAGCATTCCAATTACCTGAGAGCGTTAATGCTATTTACAGTTGATTTTGGCATCACATTTCACTGGATTTTAAATTTTGTTATTTTAAAATTGGATTAAAATGATTCCCAGTTATACTGCAAAGTGCTACCTCCTCATTGTAAATCGCAAAGTTCAAAAAATATTCGAAAAATTGTGTCCTCACCTTATGGTATTATTGATCAGATTGGATAATTTGCAGAAAATGGTAAATAACAAACTGTGAATGAAGAAAGGATTTTGAAGAATGAACTGAAAAGATTTTAAATTCAAATTTTTGATCAATTATATTGAAAAGTTGAATTGGTGACTTCTAACTTCACTGGCCACATAAACTTATCAGCTTATGCTATTGAAATTCGTCCACTAACTACTGAAAGATAGTAGAATTGGAAAAAGACAGGGTTCCTTGTTTGAAGGTGAGTAGTGAAAATAGCAAATTCTCTGTGGTCTTATGAAGAATGACTGCTATATTTTCTCCTAAATTACCTTCAAATGTTTACACGATCAGGTATTAAGAAGTCAGTCATTTTTTTGTAATGGCCTTCCACCAGGAATGTAGGGATTAGGTAGGCTTGGCAAATGTACTTCACTTACCTAATGACCTAAAAAGATTAGATGTGTGCGGAAAATATAAGCCTTGTAAAAACACCCAATGACCACACTCTGCACAGTAGAGATCAATACGCGTGAAATATGATGAATAACGCAAAATCTCATCTCCGACGTTTCTCGTGGGAGGGGGGGCGGGAAGCTCGAATCTCGGCTATTCTCTTCGTTAACTCAAGCTAATGCATTTGGACGCTCTTGGAGCTGAAATGGCATCTAGGGGCAATAAAATTTAAAAGTTGGTGTTCGCAAAACTTATCCTGGGTGATGAGAAGGTATCCTGGAGCTGTATGTGCAGCAGACACACATATCCAACCTCCCATCTTGTTAATCCGGATTTCTCTGATTAACTTTGAACCCGGGGTGTGCGATAGACTTACCACCACTTGGTGCACTCTGGGCAACATATACTCATACGGCAAAAAGGTCCATTAACCGGTATTTGACTTTTGACTTCAAACTACTGTGATCCCAATCTGTGAATCACTCTTCTGTTCCCCCTCTCCACTTTTTGTGACTTTGTCTGTTCCTCCCCCCTATGAAGCCCGAAGTCATCTAAAGGGCTAATGAACTCTTACCAAGTATGCAATTAGATTGACTTAAAGTTATCTTCTTCAAAATTACTCCAATTCAGCACGACGATTTGAAAACGACTCTACTAGACAAAAAAACAGAAAAAGACAAAATAATTGGCTCATTTGTTTAAAACAAATGGTGAATTCTTGCGTTAGTTTAATTCGTATATTTTGATGATCTTGAAAGCCTTCCACTTCAAAGTAATAAATAAACCAATTAAAAAATTCCAGTAAGGCGCAACATTTTCAAGAGTTTAAACTCGTAGGAAAATTCCGTTCTAATGTTAGCGTGGGCAATTTACTAAATCGAGTGACAATATTGCGTCTACAAATACCAAAATGCAGTCAGAAATTGTTTGAATTGACATTTAAATCAGGTAGAACAAAAATATTGTCAAACAAAACTCATTAAATTAAAAAGTTGACGACTTTCAAGCCCTCCATGCATTTCTTTACAAGTTATACTGCACCTATAAGCCCTAGTAATGGTTAGATTAGAATTAATATCCGCGGGTAAAAAATTAATTACTTTTAAATGCCTTTAATATTGCTATATAATGCCTAACTAATTGTTTTTTTTCGAAATTAGATTTATTCCTATGACAAAAGGTAAGTGGAAAAACAGCTGATAAATTCCTTCTATCCATATGTGAATTTTAAGTTTGAATTTGACCTTCACATGCAGTCCTTTAAATTGGATTGTTTTCATTATCAATGCAAGTATCCATTGCCTATTGGCTAGCCAGTATAAGCATTATTTGGGACACAAGTGAATGGTCTTATTCACCGACCACAAGTTACACCAGTCATTTTAAATCAACTTTCCCACCAATCGGATGCAAGATGCCTTCTACCCACAGCCCGATTGAAAAGCTTTGCGTGTGTGGAGGCATGCATTTTTCAAGCCCTTTCCGTGCGACTTACCAGTTTTGGTCTCTTTTCCTATAAAATAAATGTACCCTCTCTTGTTTTATTTAAAAAAGATGTATAAAGCTTTTACAAAGTTAATGAAGTAATAGTCAGGCAAATTGAACATTTATTTCATGCACATAACAAAAGTAGTCCGCGTGAATTTCTAAGGGCGCCAAAAGAGCTTTAATAAATTAACATTTTCGATAGGGAGAAATTTGTCCAAAAAAAATAGATTGAACTTGCTCCCTTGGAAGTTAAAAGCTTTTCTGGGCTAATTTATTCCCAACTTCCGCAAGTCTCCTTCCAATCTCCAATAGATCAATGCAAACATTGCAGTTTTCTGTGCCCTAAAATGGGTGAAAACATGAGCTGATTTAGAGAGAATTCATTCGATTTGCTTCTTATGAGTAATGTCTAGTGAGTCCTACTATAATTACAAATGTATTGTAATATATTAGGAGTGATTGATAAAATCCCTTACTTAATTAGTAAGTCCTTGTTACCATGACCTTGGATTCAATCAAAGAGACGAGGATCATGACGTAACTTTATTCCATTCAGAAAAGCGGAAGGACAACTTGAAGTTTTAGTGTAACCGATGACACCACAATCAAGAATGAAAGAAACATTCATCCTAGATTATGGAGGGCCTTATAGTTTCTTGTTGGGTTGAAACCCGTTGAAAATTAACTAGGTAGGTAGTTATGATCTTGAATTTCGAAATGTACACTATCGATTAAGTAAATATTGAACAATTCAAACAGCAAAGACTCCACCAAATCTTTGTTAGTCACCTTAATTCATCTTTTACTGACGTCTTGATGGAGCTGTTGCCGATGCCTCCTGGTAATTAATAGCCCAACCATTTGAAGGACATTTGTTATTGCATTATATCATTAGGGGAGTATTTGGAATAAGAAATTAATGCAGAGAAATCCCTCCACTTCTAGATCAGAATTCCATTTGAAAATTATTTTAAAGTCATGGAGTATATCTTTGGAAATCCCAATTCACCCAATTAAATCTTGGCAACGAAACTCAAATGGTTAATTGCTAATGTTATTTATAGCCATAACCTCCCCCCTCCCCAAATCTGTCATATTCAGAACTTTTTTCCTTCCGTCAACGTTCAATTATGTATCATGTGTTTATGCAATTCTATTTACGTGTTTTCAAAGTACGCTTCCAAAACAAATTGGACACTTATTGTTGAGTAGTACTTTCATTTAATTTTTAATCAATTTGGGTAATTTTCTACCCAGAGAACAGGTTTTGTCCCCTCCCCCACATCTGCTGTTAAAATTTACAACCCCCATGAAAACCAAGAAAATTTACAATTTTCTTGTAGTGGAATTCGATTAACGATATTGGGAAGGAAGTCACAAAGACATAGGGCCATTTTATTTATTCCATTCCACTTTGGACAATATTCCCAAACTGGTTGCCTCAATTGTGTGCCTTATTACATTTTTAAGGCCGAAAATGCATGACAATAACTTTAGTTCACTAATTGGTGTAAAACGTTTTGACATCACAGTATGTTTTTTCATGGGTGTGCGATAGACTAACCTCCACGCGGTGCACCCTGGGCAACGTATACTCAAACG